GTAAAATCATAAACAATAAATAATGATTTTTAAAAAGCTTTCATTTCTATAATTCAGCTTACAATCATTTCTCAGCATTTCAACGACCAGTTAGGTACAGTATAATTTATCCAATCTGAACTTGGAATAGTTTTATCCCTAAATGAGCAACATGTATTTTAGCTCAACCAAAGTGTGTTGTCTGATGGGGGAAAAAATTAATTAGATCCACTAAAACAATGAGCACATGAATCAATCATCTTCTGCTAAAACATGCAATAGTTTGTTCCTCATACTGTCACACTTACCCAGACGCTGTTTTTCTGGAACAACGCAACTACAATGTCGGCAGAAGTGAAAGTACGTACATGTACAGTCTAACTTGTCTGAAATAGTCTTTCCTTGAATCCAAGCTGTCCTCAACAGATCACGAATCTTGAGTGCACAACGGAACCCGGGTCTACGGTAAAATACTTCCCTCAGACTACTCACAGAGCTCTACCGAAAGGGGATGCAAATAACAGGAGCTAGTAAAGGAAAGAGAAGGTGTCCGCCGCCCAGAGGCCAACATCTGCACAGAATCGGTGACTTGAAGCACCACCCCCCTTCAAACAAAACACACCAACACCCAGGCACCAAGGCAAGAGGAAGGCACGTCTGCAGGAAAAAGATAAGGTCCACACTCTGGGCCTTTTTCTCTGTCCATACACTTAATTTTTTCTCTGGTCTGAAGAAGGAAGTCCAACCAGGAAAAAAAAGATTGTCTTTCTCTGGAGAGAAGACTGGAGGGCTGGGTTAAGGAGAAGGAAATGGCAGTGTGTAGCACAAACTGTGAGTGGATTGTAAGATAAGGAACAAGGACCGACCAGGAGGGGCCTGATGACCACCAGATCTTGGTGATGTTTCGAAGAAACTTGGGCCGGTGGGAAGAAAAACCACATGTGACTGGCAGAGATAGAATCAACTTTTCTGCTTCTGTTTTGGGTTCTAATAAGGCACATGTACTAAATGCAATATAGATGGAAGCAAGTTTTAAACAATATTCTTTTCATTGAATGAACACTGCACACGTTTTGTAACAAATTTTTCAATCACTTCTCTTGAAGGTAATAAACAACATTTGCTTTTTGCTGTAATTCTCAAAAATGGATGGATTTGGTGGTTAATATTTTATAGCAAATATTGTTACACTGACCTGTTTAAAGTTTTGTGTTCAAAGATGCTGGAAAAACACCCCCCCCCAAAAAAAAAAATTCAGTCCTTGAAGTCTGGTTCCTTGAACCTACTTCAGACGAAACAGAGCAATTGGTATAAACATTGGGGAATCATCAGGTCAGGGAACCTGAGGAGCTGGCCTGCACCCGTTAACGGACGTGTAACCAATTGCAAACAAAAAAGTGGACCAATTTAATTTGGTAAATGGGGACAGTATTTGAAAAAGTCAGTTTTCTCCAACTACTTTTCTTGATACAGGCATGCAACTTGGAAGAAACAAAAAACGAGGAAACTCCAATCTTTACAAGACTCTGTACAGTGTTTTTTCGAATTTTATATGGCATAAGTGTGAAGTGAAAAATGAGGAGATCAGCGGATCCAAGGAAAAGTTGCATGCCTGTTGATAACATTGACAGCACACCAGGTGCCATGATTTCACAGGATGCTTGAGACTATATTATTCACTTTCAGTGAAGTAAAGCATTTCATAATAATTTGGTAGTATTGTTTCAATGTTTGCAAATGTTGCATATTACCTTTCAATCCAACCATTTGATGCCAAGGTACCGGTAACTACATGTATATGACAAAAGGTTGATGAAACAAGTTACATGTGTCCCGAAAAAAAGTTCCAAGCAGAACAAGCCACGTTAAAAATACAATGGCATCCTGTTATGAAACATACCTACCGTAGTTCCAGAAAAAAAATACACACAAAACACCTCCCGGCACAAAAACAATGCCTTTTTTAATGCTAGAACAAGTGCAATGTAAGGGCACCAATATGTCCCTCGAATGATTATTAATTGATTTTCCACATGGCTTTGTCTACTGTCAGGTTCTTAGAAGCAAAAATATCGCACCACCTTGGGAGCTGGCCCAAAGCAGGATTTCCTGAAGTGAAACCAAACTGGATGTGATGTACCTGATGGGGCCTGTCACATGGGCTGCGCAAATATTTCCTCCCTAAATTTAAGGCAGCACAGATAATGCTTGAACATTTACACTGTTGTCATACACATATATATACAACTTATACTGGTTAATCTTCTCATTTACATACTTCTGAGAAACACAAGTACATGTGTAAGGTATTTGGTACCGTGCAGTACATGTCCATGTTCGTGCGTATTTTCTATTTCAATGAAAATTGAGCTGATGACGTATGTGTAAACTGTATCCACAGTTTTACATTAACATGTACATGTACTTTCATACTTTATTCACAAGAACGAGATTTCTTTGATTCATGACTCGATAAGATGTTTACCAAATCCAGGGTTTGTTCAAGCTGTGGCTTCCTCTCAAGCTCTATTTATAACAATTTTAGAAGATTTAGTTTCAGAGCCACGTGGAAATAACTCCAAATTTTGGCTCGTACTATGGGATTTTTTTTGTAATGGAAGAAGAAAGCTGAAGTATCTCAGTCAGGGATTTACGTAAAAATTATGACGGCGGAGCAAATCTTGAACACTTCACAAAATGTGAATGCTGCACGGCAACCTGCATGGACCGTACTGGTAGTTATTTACTCTGAGAAATACAAAAATTCCGCAAAAGATTTTGTTTTGTTCCTTAATTAAAATTAATTGGGAATTAAATCATTCATAACAATATCAATTGAAAGCTTTGATCTCATCCATGATGAGTCTGGCCTTGTAATTCTGACCCCTTGCTAAGCCTAAGCCAGCCCCCCCCCCCCCCCAACCCGTGTTTTACTACCCGGTACTCTTGTCCATCTATGTACACAAAAAAAATCACAATAATTTATTCTATACAAATCAAATAAATAATTTATTTGAATCTGGTAGATTAGTGGAAACCTTGGACTGCATGATACTGAACAAAGAATTTTTGTTTCTGATTTTATAACCATTTTAAACTTTATTACAACTGGTTTTGTTTATGAATGCAAAACGAATACATGTACATGTATACAAGTACATGTGTACAATATCATTCCAATTGGGAAAGTACATTACGACAGATAGGTGATGGGATTGTGCGTTCGATGATACAAGCATGGCACATGTAGAATAACATGCAATGGAAGCCATTTGTTATTCTATATTTTTTCAAAGGACAAATCTGCGAGGGCCCGAAAGCCAAATATCTTTTTAAAGGCATACTCTGACTGTGTGTTAAAATTCCATGCTTGTATCATCAAAGGCACAATTCCCCCCAATAAGTCCCCTATCTGCCCCACTAATTATACCACTTTCAATCTGCAAAGTTTGCAAGTCAAATAGGAATAGCTTAATCACCGACTATCTTTACTACTGTTTTTCTTTCGATCTGCTTTATTTACAATTCTGATGCTTCCAACTGAGTTGTATTCATTTGCTTGTTTCAGGGTGAAATTTAGGGAAAAAAGACAAACCGGCAGAGCATTTGAGGGTTGTTGGCTCCAAAGGAACAGCTATATTTGCCTCAAGACATCCCGAAAAAAAACCAATTTCTTCTGTTTTATATCTAAATTTAGGTACCGGTATGCATACCTTATGGTACAACCTTAGAATTTCAGATTTTGCAAGGTATTTTTAAAATCCTGACGAAAAATAAGGAAAAGTTGTGACAAAACTCAGCCCAGTTGTTTTTTTTAGTTTGCTACAGTATGAATTGCTGGGATTTGCAAGTCTTTTCCTGTGTGCTCAGTTGCTGCTTTCTTGATGAAGGTGTCTCATTCCTTGAGGGGGTAGCTTTTTCTTTCAAACCTAAAGTTTAGGCCAGATTATTTTTTCAAGTTCAAATGGACCGGCATTCACATGAACCGGCTCTATCTTTTAGACATCATGTTAATAACACTCAACTTCAGCTCTTCACTTTGTTTGTCCACTAAGGGTAAATCCCTGCTGCGATCATGGAAACATTTCTGTACTAAAACCAGCAGGTCACTACTAATTCCGATGTGATCTGGTATTGTGTTCAAGAGTGTGTGCAGAGGAATTACGGGAGAGAAAAGCCCAAGGATCGCCACAAAGGAGAAAGCCTCCAGCGACCCATGTACGGCACAATGGTTGAATGGACGGATTACAAGCGATACATGTATCCACTGTATGCAAGCAAACCACACGATTATCTTCATTAAGCCCTCTATGAAGAGACTGATCGTCCTTTCTCTGTTAATTGTACTGTGGAGATTAGAACAAATCCTGACACTTGTTGCTAAACATTCAAACTCACTAATTGCTCATTTAAACTGCAAAGTGGCCGTAGATGTACCGATACGGGTACTAACAATGGGTGTACATGTACATGTACCTTCAATACATGAACATACATTTTTCACTCATTAAAAAGGTGATTAGTATTGATTAATTGCAATTACCGGGTACGTACTACACACGTATAGATATCTGCAACTAATACAGTAAAATAAAACAGTAAGTTTCAGTTTGATTACTTTTTTCTGGATATTTTTCTTGATCCCTTTTTTGGGGATGAAACTCTCCGGACACGACTTTCTTTACTGAGATCATTTTTGTCATGCATGAACATTTCTACCCCCCCCCCTCCAAAAAAATGATATTTAAATTGACAATGAAATGTGCTCTAGCACACTCCAATTCAGTGTCTACAGGCAATGAACTTTTTAATTTAATCATTCTGGCCAGCGAGAAGAACCAAACCGTACATGTACCGGTACATAAGTCAACTTCCGAACACACATCAGAAGTACGTGCCCTGCATAATACAGTTCAAGAAGTCTTCATGAAGTACTGCCAATTATTCAGTCACAGAAAAGATAAAAGTGATATTGTTTTCTGTCAGATCTACTCATTAAAAATACAGAAGAAACACCTTACCAATAATGCTTGTTCTTGGCAGACTCAAGGATTGGTAGCAGTAATGCAAAATGTTCAACAAGAAAGGAAATCTCAGCGACCATTGGGAACTTTCCAGCGCCAAACTGTCAACACGACATGATAGACAACATGCAAATTCTATATCTGAACTACTCGAATATGACCCGAAGACGACTGAACCAAATAACGGGTTTGTTTTTTTTGTAAGAAACTGTGAAGGTGCGGTGAAAAAATAGAAACGGGTGCTCAGCCATCGCCTGACGACAAACAATTTCACAATGTTCCGTGACGTCGTTGGTACTTGCGGATGGACCCCTTTTGTTGGCGTGATCATGAGGTGTGCCGGTAAGTAATGACCCCTGAGGTTTACTTTACAACCGCCCAAGGTGATCTAAGTTTTATCAGCATATCTTTTTAAGTCTCTTGCTCAGTTCTTGAACCTTGGACATTCGGCCGGTGCTCACAGAGACTCTGCCAATAATAAGCCGCACACCTTTTAACCTTCTCATAATCTGCTCTTTCAACAATAAATGCCCTGTAAATCGAGATAAGTGAAGACACAAACAAGTCTTTAACACTCCAGTAACTTCGGGGCATGACTTGAAGTGCAGTGGGTGAGGTTGAACGTTGCACATGCATTCCAAATTTAGCAGAGGTCTCACAACTTTCCTAGATCTACACGCACATTGTATGAACATTTTACTGCCGTACGCATGATGTCAGTTCAACTGTTTCCAAAAGGACTGTGAAACCCGCAAAAAGTATTTTTTTTTCATTAACAAATCTTAATTAAACAAACATTTTTAATGCATTGCGTTCTTAGATCTTGACCAACAGTGATACCTTCAAGACTTTATTCCAGTTGAAGTTCTTTTCTCTGCATCTAAAAACTCCCCCCCCCCCCAAAAAAAATTTGTTTTAATAAAATTAACAACCTGTAACAAAGAACAATCTGTATTTGCTCAAATTGTGGATATGTTAAATAAAAAACAAACCACACAATCACATTAAAAGGAAAATACACAGAAAGGCCCTTCCTTTCCCTTAACAGAACAAAATATTTTACATTAAAAATCTGGATTAAAGTAAATATTGTTGAGAATTAATGTCAGGCCCTGGTCCTAACTTTTCAGACTGTAACAAATGAAATGTCAAGGTTTAAGTGATTTATCAATACAAATACAAATAAAAGTGAGTGATTTTGTTTAAAAAAGAGGGTCTATCCAGCAAACTGCAATGAACTTTTTAGTACGCCTAAAAATTGTAGGCAACTGCGTAATGATGTTTGACAAAAAGTTAAAATTGCTTTATATTTGGTGATACAAATCAAGGGAAATGACTACATGTATGACTAACATTCTGATTCACAATAAAATGTCTGATGTTGCAATCGGAGAACACCTACGAGTACATAGTGTGCAACTCAACAGATACCCAATGATACCCATAGTACAGTTAATCCAGTCATGCTAGTCAGCCTACTGTGCTGCCTTAATTGTCCCTAAACCATTTTTAAGTCCTTTGTCTTCTCAATTCTGCTGATCTTTTATTTATGGCAAGCTGAATGGATGAGATATATCAGATGAAACGAAATTAATTTAACAAGTTGAGCCCATGGGCTATTTAGATCCAATGGCGCCAGCATTTTGTCAAAGGTTTGTCATATTCTTTTCATTCTGCATCAGCCAGGAGTTCAATCTAGGCACAATCAGAAATAGGTCTGCTCTTCCCTAGACATGTATACATGAGCCCTGGATTAGCTGTAACCTGTTAGCACTTGTATTACATTGTATTACATTGTATTACATTGTATCTACATGTGTACACTCCTTCAGGATTCCATACAAACCATATACAGTGCTGAGGCGCTTTCTGGGGGTGTAACAGTTGGTTCATACTTCATGAGAATGCAATGCGAAGCAAATTGGACGTCATGAAATATTCGCTACGAAATTTGTACATGACTTGAAATGTGTTCAACTTCTGCGAATTCATAGCGCGAAAACTTGACGTGACGTTACAATTCTACCTTCCGGTTTGCTTTCGCGCTGCGTAACAAACGGCCTTTAGGAGTCACAGGCAGTTTGGGGCGGTACAGTGCAAACAGATTAAGAGTTGCTTTTGCCACCCAACCGAATTCAGCACAATCGAACAAGAGAACTAACTTGTATTAATTCCCTGAATTTCTAAAACCATAACTTACTGGGGCAGTTTGGGGCGGTACAGAATTAGTTGGCTAAGATTTGCTTTTGCTACAAATACGGTATCAAATATGATGCAACAACAGTTGAGGCATGCAGCCACAATTCCAACATTTAAGGTAGAACATCTTTGTTCACTATTCATGAACACCAACATCCAGTAAAAACTGCCTGATGTTATTTAGCAAATAGAAAACTTCTTTTTACTGTTTCAAAACGGAAATAAATCAATGAACTGCCAAGATGAATATTTACAAATGCACTTGACGACTTTGTTGCCAAAAACGTCCGATCCCGAGGACAATACAATATGCTAAATTAAATACAGTTTTATTGTCAATGTGCGTGAACAAATATAATTAGATGCTACAGGTAACAAAGTCGAGGAAATTTAAATTGCTTTTCTTCCAAAATGACAAATATTGAACCCCAGAATACACATGTGAAGGTCCATTAACAATCGTAGAAGGCAAGCACGACAACAAGTCAACAACCACTTATTGGGCATCATGCACTTACAAGGTATTTCGTTCAGGTTTTTTTTTATAGACTTGCAACGTCCTCTTCTTAAAAGCAATTTTTTTCCTGAGGGTTGGACTACCAGCAAGATTTTTAATAGAAAATGGAACAAATTATACACATGTTCCATACTGAGCTGCAGAGCGAGGCACTTGGCCAGAGGAGTGTGGTACCAGCATCTTAAGAGAAAGGAATGATGAACGACGAACATTGAGGACAGACCGCAGAGAGAAATGTACATGTACATGTATGAGTCCATGCACAGCCGTTTAGCCTTATTTGGCCTTAGCTTTGGAGTTACGAGGTAGATAATAAACCCTCTTTTCTAAAAAAAAACTGGGACAACATGTGCGTTGCTAAAAGACCCATATGTATCAACCTCGACTCAAAGTACATGTTTAGGGCATGGTCAATGGATTTGTGCTATCGCTCAATCGCGCAGAAATGCGTTTGTGTGATTGGTCGATCCCGTGGCTAGTCCTAGATTTCATCAGTATGTTCTTTTTTAAAACGATCCCCCAGAGTGAATCAGAAAGAAAAAGTGACAGACCAATGGAGAACGCGCCCATAGCGCAGCGTGATCAGCTAATAGTGCAGCCTAATTAGGCAATAGTGCAGATCATCCATCGCACCCAACATGTACATACACTGCTATGCACAAATTGTCCATAAATTAAACTACTAAAGATACATATTCTGTAAACACACAAGTACATGTCTTTTATTCAGTGTATCTACCGTAGAAGCCATTCATGTGTTGTAGACCTTAAACGCCCACTGACCTTAAACGCGCTCTACGTTGAAAGTGCTGATATTTTGTGATCTGCTTCACCGCAGTCAACATTGTATGAATGAAAACGTGTTTCGAGACTCCATTATTGACAACAAGTTTTGCAGGAATCATCTTTTCAAACAGAGAAGTTCTGGATGATTCCCTGCAAAGTTTGACAATTACCGGCACCGAACAGGGTATAAATCAACAACATTATGAAATGCTGCACATTTTTGCAAGAATCAAATAAAAAGGAAAGAAATATTCTCAAAAGTGATCAATGCCAGTTGAAAAATCTCCACGGACATTTTTTTTTTACAGCCCTACAATTTACTGGTGTAACTATCAAAGTTAGTACATGTATGAGATAATACAGTCTGCTGGAGCCTAGGAAACTCATGCCGGAAAACGTAAAAATACTCACATTGATACCACAGTCCAACTAAGACTGTACTGACTGTACTGTCTGACACCAAGTACGTGATACTAAATGCCTTTCAGCGTTCGGTGGTTGGCTTGCGAAAAAATACCAAGCGATGAGTCCTCTTGCAACTGTGATCTGCCACCGCAGCACTTGCTTGGGCAGGAGTGCGGCAAATGGACGTAAATCTTGCAATTAGAATATTGACGGGCAACGGCATATGGTTAGTTCGCATGATGCCGCAAGTCTTAAGGTTGAGACATTTAATTTACACGGTCAATACTAAATCCGTCAGGTTTTTTTTGTTGTTGTCACTGCAAGGCACATGTAGACTTCTCCAACAGATGTTACCCTCCCCCATTTACCCAGCCTCATCTGCATATTCATCAGACACAGACAGTGTCCTGGCCAAGTAGTCGTTGGTAATGACGGTGGAGGCTGAGACTTGGAAACGGATATATATACATACTGTGGGCGGAGACCCAAGCCTCATTTATCATTCTTACCGCTGTGGCTTTCAGGATCCGTTTATGAAATTACATGCCCCACGGAAGATAATTGAAAGGCAGTTTGCAGCACGCATGGCTGAGTTTTAGCGTCTGGCTTTACTGTCGAGCAATCTGATTGGATATCTAAGAATGATGGCAAAACTGAGCCAACGTGTGGATATCATTTACACGTCATTGGCATGGGTGAATATAAAATTCTCTTCGGTTCACTTCAATTCTCATCAATTGAATATCACACAGGGTTCTTGCAGAATTAAAACAATAGACTACCCAATCGCCATCAGATTTCTAAATAAAATGATTACAAAGGCTAAATCCCCCAAATGATTGTGCAATTTGGAATAAAGTTACAATGCAAATCCCCACCCCAAACTTTGTTTGCCAAGGTTGTGCAATTTTACAAAGCGGTATCTGAATGTACGCTCGTGGGAAAAATCTCAAAATCTAGCCACACGGCATTGACATGGAGGAAGGAATACAGGGAAATGGTCCTGGGGTGGGAAGGGTGAGGGGTGGGGAGAGGGAGGGGGATGGGGGGATCGGGGATGGGGGATGGGGCTTGTTTCAAGTATTGTAAACCATTCTTCAACACAGTGTAAGTATATAGTATACAAATATTGAAGGGCTCAGAGTGGAATGGGAGGAATATTATCGCAAGGTAAAATCTGAACTTTTCCATTTCACAAGGCGAAGTCGGGTGAACTGGAAAGTCCAGATTTTATTGAGTGATAATATTCCTCCCATTTCACAATTTAAAGCCACTCAATATTTGTTTTATGTAACTGACAGATCCTTGTAATTTGATATATTTGAACTTTTTATTTGGAAAATTTATTTCTCTCTTCCAAACCACCCCTTCACAAAAATGTTTGAACCCAACTCTGTACCGCTGGCTCTTTGGAACAATATGCGTTACCTGCAACGCTGAACGCACAACTAGCATGCATTTGCACA